TAGAAATTAGGTAATATTAACACGATGTACATGTGTCGGCATACAACTATGACTATTGAAGAAGCCCATCCTAAAACTTTGATTATTATCCCTACTAATATTATAAATGCGAAAGTAACTCTGTCTGTCTGTTTGTTACGCTTTCACGCCTAAACCACTGAACTGATTTTAATGAAATTTGGTACAGAGATGCAGTTGACCTTGAGAAAGAACATAGGATAGTTTTTATCCCAGACTTTTGAAAAGTTCTCTTGGAAGCTTGTAAGCTAGTAAAATATAATATGATATAAAAAGGAGATCAATTGACTTTTTTTGTAAAGATTTTCACAACAATATTAATAACCTTTACGATAATATAAATGTTAGAGACAGTCATTCAGTGTCGCACACCCCAATGGGCAGTGATCCCATATTTATAAGCAAAAAATGGCCAATCTGTCCGACGCGTCGATACGGGCATGACTAATGGTTGCTAGCCGCTTTGCAAATTGCCAGCCGAAATTGTAACGAAGCTGGAAAATTGTTTCATTCATAAATATAACAGGGATTTGTTGCGGATCTTTCTTTTATGAATAATGGTTTCTATATATTACGACGAAGGTCCCGTACAGAGATTTCTGCAAACTTGGCCAAATCTACGAAATTAATTTAACAAAATATATTCCTTTGAAAAATAGATAGTACATAGTTAATATTGCTATAGTGAACGAAAATAGAGAGAACTAGTATTCGAAATTAGCAATACAAAGCGTTATGTTGGGGCCGCATTCGCTGCCAATTGAAAGGAGAAGAAAATAATAGTTATTTGCAATAATCGTCTGAAGGGACGGCTGATTGCGCCCGGGGCGGGAGTGAATTTTTCCTATTTTTGTCTCGAAACTTACAGTTTACCTCCTGACTGGTATTTCATTTCATTTTGGTAAAGTTTAAAATTGTATTATTTACCTGTCAACTCAATGTCTAATACTTTCTTAATCGATTTAATAGTTGATTAACCCATACAAAATAATTTTAAGGCAATGTTTTCTTTATTACCAATACTCTACTAACATTCTATAAATTAGGAAGTGTTTATGTCTGTCAGTTTGTTACTCACTAACATATATAGGCTTCTACTCGTTTAATATATGTATGAATCTATGAAGTCAATATATAGAAACTAGTGTGTCCATAAAAAAATTGGGACATTTCACACAAACGTCATGATTATTAAGATATATCAGATGAAAGTCCATGTTAACACCACAATGGACAGATGATGACCCTCGCCCTCAAGCAATTCAACCCTAAAAGAAAGAATTAAAACAACAAGGGTCACTATAAAAGTTAGCTGATGAGGTAAAGGGGGAAATAATGCATCATTTTCGGAACACTTGTCCCTTAATCCGCACCTACTGTTTGATGGATGGTCATCCTACTTGTGGAATTTTTATTAAATTCTCTATATACAATACATGTTCATTTCAATTCGTCTTATGTACGTTAAGTTATACTGAAGTCATGATTAACTCAAAACGCTCACTTAGAGCTAATTTTATTTTATAAATTGCTGATAAGTTTATAAGATAGCGCATTCCGAGACGGAGTTTGTGAATGATTATACTTTTTATATGTAAATTTCTTTTGTTTTAAATCACAATAACTTTTTCAGTTTCTTTACTAGTATGACAAAATGGCGGAATCATATTTCTTAATATTAGTATATTTTTCTGTAACAACATAACGTAATTGATATAAAAACAAAATATTGTTGTACACCTGCGGACCAAACACAAACCGCAGAGTCAAATTGATGCAGTTTTTCGAAACAACGATTTCTTAAATATTATTCGGTTTTATTGTCGATAATCACTAATAATACGGAGAAAACATAATATTGGAAACGAAATAAACGATCTCATTACTATATAATGACATTATTTTATATAAATTATATTCTTAGTTGTTAGACAGACCTCAATTAGAATTGTATAAAAACTATCATTTTTAATTCTCAATCATATATATACATATGTTATAAAGAAAAAATATTATGTACGTGTATTTAGAATTGAATTTTTTTCGTAAAACCTATAGAGCCAGAATAAAATCTTTAGTATCTCGACATCTTAGAATCGAGCATCTCCGCGGGATGAAGCTAGTATTTCCTAATTTTGATTTCCAATTTAAGATGAAACTTTTAATGTATACAAATCCCTAATATCCTAAGATCTATCATAGTATAGTTGAAAGTGTTAACAGAACAAAAACCGAAGCGGACAGAGGGCGCGACGAATCGGCAGTGATTCAGCATTTGCCGCTGATTGAACCGGCAGCATATACAGGGTGCTCAGATGCTTTAAAATACAAAAAAAATATTTCATATTGACAAATATATATATATAAAACTTAGAAAATAATTCAATCAGATTTACATTTATATTCTAATCAATTTCAATATCGATTCTAATTAACATATTTAAAAAATTATAAAAAATGAACACGCTGTATATGGTTAAAAATAACACAAGACAAAACGTAATAGATCCATATATTTAAAAACGGGCCAACAATAATTTTTAAATCCAAATCAAACGGAAGTTCCTAACCTCTTTATTCATTGGTGTTTAAGTTCAAATTGGCTTGGCAAGTGAACGTCATCTATCAAGCTAGTGGCTGCAAGTAATCTTTATAATGATAGGTAGTTCAAGATGTGTTATTGTTCCCGATATTATGTTTTTATCGTGAATTTAAAGTATGAAATTAGAATACACTAAAAGAACGACGCTCACACTTGACCCAAATCGGTCAACGGCTTACATAGTTATGAAAAAATAATAATTAGAAAGATAGTTTAAGAATTTGATGAAAATTATGTAGAATTTAGAATATTTTTCTGATAATTTAATTATTCATAAGTTACGAAGTGAATTTCTCCATAACAAAACACTACGGGGTATGTTTTTTTTTATTTCCTCAATCTCTCGTTTTTTGTCAGTCTTTGTTGCCATTAAATGGATTTTTAATCTAGACATTTAGAACCGTTTTATTATAAATCGCCAAAATAAAGTTAACAGTTCGACTCCAGATATTTTTTGTATAAATCGTAAGAAAGTTTTAAATAAAAATATTTTAAAATAGATTCAATTAGTTTTGAAGCGTTTTTTGTACTGAATGTACAATGTAAAATTAGAAACAGATTGTAAATTGAAAAGTTTTCAGCGATGGCTGTATTTTTTTGACATTATTCTATGTTTATATAATATTGATGCACAATTCGAAATATATTATAAAGAGAAAAAATGACGTATCAAATTTTGTCAAAGCAATGAGCTTGTCTTTTCATATATTGACAACAAAATCAAATTAATTTTAAGAAATAATTTTGAATTTTTGTAAATTTTTTTTTAATAAATGTCGATAGTTTATTTATAATACTGGCAACATTTAATTCGCGTATTTTCTACGATAGATAATTTTCAATAATTTAAATTTCGAACAAACTTCACGAAAGTATCTAGATGACTATTAATACATTTATTTATGAACATCTTTCATTAAACCGTTCATTGATTGAATGAGCGGAATTTCTAATTATCTTCGAATTGATTTTTTTTTTGTCCACAAACATACATCAAAGCGTATAGTCATGAGAATGTCACGGTCTTTATATTAAGATAGGAACAATTTAGACAAAGAATATTCTTTTACCCTTTGTGAGACAATTTGATGAAGTGTAAAAAGGCTTTTTTATGTTGTAGGGAGTGTAAAAAGGATTTAACTATACAAAAAAGTTTTAACCTGTATTCAAATATCCATTTAATGACCAAAATTGCTTTACTTTGTGGCATTCCAGACGAATTTAATAAGAAATAGAAGATTTCTATGTTATTATCTTATTGGTTATATATTAGTATTCTTATACTTTAATAAAGTAATATATAGTTTATGGCTTGGCTTGAGATAGAAACAAATTACTATACATATGTACTTTAAGTTTAATATATATATTTTTTATTAATTAAGTATATTCTATTTTTCTCAATTACCGTCTCTGTTTACGGAATGTAAACAAGTTTTTTTTATAAAGATGACAATTTAAAACGACATTTGTTGTTTTGTGATTCCGTTGATAAAATCTTAATATACGTAAGTCTGTTTTTATTTCGTGCGAGATCATATTCTGTTGTACTTCCTTGATTATTTGCGTCATTATATGTATTTTATATATTATTTGTTTAAAGTATAAAGATATTCATATTAAATGTAATTATCATATCATATATGTAATCATATTTTTGAAATTATATACCAGTTTTTCTAAGCATTTTTTTTTTGTTGTAAATACCTGTATAAGTCTTATTGGAAATTTTGTTTGAAAATTAATCCAATTGAATTTTTTTTTGTTAATTATAATTATAAATGAACTAATATAAGTAACAATAACAGAAGTGAATGTAATAGTTTTATTACGTCTAACCTAGAAAATTAAAAACCAGTACAACTGTATAAAGATTTAAATCAGAGATTTTGTGAGTAATTCTGTTTAGCTAGTCGTTTTTAAGTCTTGTTATTACACAACTAAATATAAAAATGCTTTATATAATAATGTTTAGAATTAAATTGGGAAATTATAACATTGAAAAATTTCCAAATATAATGAACGTGTTTTTTTTTTTCTTTTGCATAAATATTCTTTAAATATTTTTTCTTCCTAAATTTCTTTTATTTTTAATATAGCAGGTATTTTTTTTTTTGTAATTACATAAAAACAACGTACACACACAACATCGAGTAACTACTAAAAGCACGTTGATGAAGCTCTATAAAAAATTGCAAAACTTAAAAATAACTCTATAGAATATATTAGGTAGTTTAAAAAAAAATTACAACCGACAATTTGCTCATGTTCACAGTTACAGTAGTTAATATATTATTAAAATTATGAGTATATATTCGACATGAGCACATTGTTAGTAAAATAATCTAAAACTAAAAAAATAAAATAAAATGAAACGTGCCCAGGTTCGAGATGCGTTTGGTTGGATGCTTGTTGTTGTCGACACATATCCGGGCTTGTCTGTACGAACCAGGAATGGGTGAAGGCCGTGTTGAGGCCCGGATTTAGGCCCGGACCTGGACCTGGGAGGCCCATCACACCTGGCAGGCCCGGCCTCTGGTGATGGAAGCCAGAGGCCACCGCGTAGTCCATAGCTACCGTTTGGTACGGCAACATTCTCAAGTTATTCAAACAGTCTTTAGTTCAGCACTCATCGTATAACATGCTCCGATAGTCCATTAGTCCAGTAACACTAAATAACTGTATGTCCAAAGACTATCAGTTATCCACAACACCGATTTATTTTAGTCTCAGACGATCCTATTCCGACCGATAATTTCCAGCAGCCGAACTCAAGAGTCACGCACAGCCACCCACTTAATAAATATTCCGGGCATATATCCGTTTTTACGTGGACGTGACTGGCTACGTACTGTCCGATTTTCACGTACGGAACGCGCGGCCGATTATCGGAAAACAGTTGCACGCGTCCCCCTCCTTAGAGCGCGGACGTGCGACTGAGGTTCAACACGCGCCAAACGAGAAGCCTCCGGAGCTCGGCTGTTAGACAGGGACGGAGCTATACGATAGACAGAGATGAAAGATGCTGCGAGTTAAAAGCCTGCGACGTTACACCCGTAATAGGCGGTTACGTGATTGGGCGTGGCGTTGATATTAAGTTAAATTGTCGCGTCCCGATTGGTTAAAATTGGTGGCAGTTAACTACGTGATATGTTCGGGAATACGTTTATAACTCCGCTCATGGAATATAATGACTTGTTGGTTGGATGACAGCCAGTCGGTTCGATTCCCGGCTGTGGAAGGTTTTAATTACTGTATCGGATTAATGAGCACATACTCTTAATTATTGATAATGATTCTCACACCTGGAAATAACTTTGATTGATGCAAAAAATACTATTGTATAAAAAGTCACAACCGCACATTCTGTGTTACGTATTAAATGTCAGTCTTGGGAAAAAATATTAAATAAAAACTATTATAAGTTGTAGCATACAAAAAGTCACAATAGAAATGTCATTTTATGTAAAAAAATATGATTCCTACTTAACTTAATAGTTAGTACTGAAGTCTGATAATAACTTGGAGCCGTTATTAGTAAGAAATAAATAAAATTTATAAAGAAAAAAATCTGTTCATTTCAGTCACGAAATTAATCAATTGACAGAAACAGTAGAAAAAGTTATTTAAATTTTAAAAAATAAAGTAAATATTCGATACATTTTAGTACCTACAAAGGTACAATTTATATATATGATTTTTTCTGTATATAAAGCAATTGTATGTCAAACTATTTTCTTCATGACAAATTTGAAACAAACATAACGCTATCAAGCTTAATGAATCCCAATTAATTTAATTGCAGAAAATACCATTTATATAGTAAAATACACCCATTGCTGATAAATTTCCTCACAGTACCTAATTTCAATACCTATTCAATACCTAAATTTTGTCTATAGATACCTATCTATAGATATCTGTCTATAGATCAGAATAGTCTAGTAGCAGACGCCACGCCCCTACCTAAATCAATAACTCCTAGAAGACATATTCAGATACGATGCTACTTCAATACAACATCACAAGAAATGTATTGAATACACACATATATATATATATTTTATATGTTTGTATGTATGTATGTTACATCATAACTACTAAACCAAAATTTGTTGATAATTTTATATTATAAATTTATATCTCATAGTAATTAAAACAAATTATTAGTATATTCTAAAGCAACTTCATTAAAATATTTCGTTAAACAAATAAAAACAAGATGATAGTTAACTTATTATGTATAAATCAAATTATTTGTCGGCTAAGCCGTAGCCGGACGGTTGCGGCTTCCGGCCAGCGGTTAGCCGGCTATTTAGATTACATTGCAGATGTGAAATGATACGGCTAACTGGAATTAACGATGAATTGCTTCAATAATTCGAATACAACTTTCTAATGTGATTCCGTCATTAATAGTTTAATTTTAAACCAAAAACACGTAGAATTTTGTCTCAGAACTCGTAAAATTTATATCATTTTATGAAATTTATAAATAATTTCAAATAATTAATTATTTTACGGTATTTAACCTGAATAATGTAAAAATCGTAAAGCTAGCCGCTTAGAAGCTAATAATTTTTTCAAATACATTGTAATGATAATGAGTTTTTTAAATAAAGAACAATAATTAAATCATTTTCAACATTCAAGCGGCTGAAGCGCTGAAAAATTTATAACATTCCAAATATAACATTTAATAACAACTACAGTAGCAGATGGATCGGAACGTTCTAAATTCCGAAGCGCTTTAATTTATGTTTTTTCTAATATAGGTTCTGTTTTAGTTGGACGAAGTTACAAACACTGGTTATAATCAATAAAGAGATCGCTCACGGACACGGTCACGAGGAATACGCGGAGGTACGCAGGCTGTGGATGTATTGATAGGAGGTAGCGGATAGCGGGAAGCGGTGAGTGGGGAACATGATTAGAATATACTCATAACGTTATTATTGGAATGTAGCTTGAGAAATGTTACGTATAAAGAATTAAAAATGATTTTGCATATATTTCAAAGGAATACAATAATTATTAATTTTTGATTTAATAGTGTGTATAGTCGAAGTATTTGATAAAATCGCTCCTCTCATGAATAGTACTAGTCTAATAACAGTCAACCAGAAAAGTGCGTCTTATTGGATAATTCGTGAGTTTTCATTTTTTTTTTTCTATATATTTTTTTCTCAAGTCAGGTGTTTGAACCTGCTACGTTCTTGACATTGGGACTTGGGAGTTTCAGTTATCTCAGCATTCGTGAAGTTCGATGAACCATTTACTTTGTACTAACGTGACTGGTTTTTAACTTCAATAGAATGCCAGTTATTTTCTATTTAATGTAAAAAAAGTCTTATTTGATACATTCTAAATTAAAAAATTACGTAATGAACCTGTAAGTATGATTGATAAAGCGCCATCTATATATTAGCACTAAAGCACTAATGTTGCCATATCGATGTATTTGATACCTCTTAAATATGAAATTATTGTAAGTAGCGCCATCTATGGAGTTGTAGCTAGTGACGTCACTAATCCCCTTACAATAGTCGATACTGAATTTTAAACAGCATCGATCGTGTGCCCTACATTTAGGGACGCACGTACAATGACCTAACCTTTATTTTATTGGGAGGGTGTCAACTATAAATCTTTAGCTCTCGTGGTCTGGATGTTTAATAGTTTAGACCTTAACTAGAACGATTTCTTGAACGAAAATAAGGATAATGTGAGCCAAATACAAAATTAATTACTGCTTTGAAGGCTGTATTTGTATCAGACTTTATTATATTATTAATTACGTAAAAGGCTCGATTTGTACGTGTTTTTGTGTATTTAAATAACAAGCACTAATAATACTATTACTAATATAATAAAATATTGAATCATAATAAATAGTATTTTTAATATAAATCTCCAAATATATTACAGAATAAAGATGTAACAACTGCAAACAATCAATTAAAATAACGATAAAAGACAAAAAATAATTAAACATACAATAATTAATACAACTAATTAGCTAATTTCCATATAATTACTTAATCTCCATACCACCCTAAATTTCCACCATAAACATTTAGTAACACAAATAAACATGTCCAAGCGTGATACGAGTTTATCTCAACATTACCCCGGAATTAGGGAAGCATACACACATTAAGATGGCAACCCTGATACTGATATGAATTAAGATATTCTAATTTCAATTGCCAGTGTAGCTTCACTTTTGTTGAGTAAACAAAAATGTTTTTATTTGCACTTCGTAAAGGAAGCATAAATTTATAAGTCCGTCATTTTGGATGAATTAATTGACAAGTTTATTTTATCTATATATACAGTTATATATTAAAATGGAGAAGATTTTATCGTATTTACATGGGGTTTATTGAAAATTTTACTATTTGGTACACTTAATTTCCGAGTTTAAGTTTCTAGTAGCTACATATTTGGCTCTAACTGCAATTTAACCATTAACTGGTAGTTAGAATGTGATTGAATACTATTTTAAGAATAAATTTGTCAATTTAAATTATATGTTTCATAATATAATTGGTAGTATAAGTGAAATATCGGAACTATAGATACATACAATCCAACCCTTTCCAAGAAAATGTATTAAAACCAGATAAAATCAGGGTAAAACATTAAACTTTGCATATGGGGACAATTATGATGGAATTTGTATAATTTGGAAGATACGCGACGAAATAAATTAATAAAACAACCCCTTAGTGAAGGGTGAAGTGATACGATCTTACGACGCGCGATTAAAAATAACAATTTGTAAAGATATCTACAAATTATAACCAACATGGTTTAAGAGGAATATCAATGGTGGCCTAGTGGTTAAAAAGGCCCGCCTCTCTTGTACGAGGGCGCGGGTTCGATCCTGGCAAGTACCAATGTGATTTTTCCGAGTCATATGTACTTTCTAAGAGTATTTAGACATCACTGATTAATGCATTCCCAAAGAGGGTTGATGTCAGGCAGGCGGCCGGTTGTAAAAATAATACACAACATGTAAGGCAGACCCTGGCTAAAGCTGGGAAATTGCCAGGTAGATATATATTATAATGTTTTTAAGAGAATAGTCAATATGTTAACGCTTCTCAAACTTTTCAATATGAAACTGAGGCGATAATAAAAGCTAAATATATCTACCGGATATGAGATTCTGTGAATCAAGCATTCAGGACACGCACAGACGCTCCCGCTAACTATATTATATATATACATATATGTTAACTCAAACTCAAATATTTTGTTGCTTGAGTATTTTTCTATGACAAAATACGTTTATCGTATGTATAAAAGATTTGAAATTATTTCGTGTAATAAATATATTATTATTTTATTTTCATTAAATACTATTATAATTGTTTTTACAACAACTTAATATAAAATTAAGATTTGGAAAATAATATTTAAGTAATGATTTCATTACGAAAGCCAAAGCCAATAGGACTAATATCAATATTCAAGAAAATAATTTAAATAATTTTCAAACTTTACATAATATTATTCTTTATCTATGGTTATACTTCTACATAGAAAAGTCTTATTATTGTATATACCCAATATATTTGTATAACTTC